TTCAAAACGAGTACCCAACGCAGGAGGGTTGGGAAAAAAAGACACAAACACGCACACACACACACACACACACACACAAACACAAACACAAACACAAACACAAACACAAACACACACACACACACACAAACAAACAACAAGCAAAAAAAAACATACACACACAAACACACACACACACACACACACACACACACACTGTGGGGAAAAAAACAAAAAACAAAAAAAACACGGGGTCGCCATCCATCCGTGAAAGTGCTGCCAACGAGCGAACGCGCGCGGCGCTAGGGCGACGACATCGTTTTGAAAAAGGAACCGCCCCCCATCCGTGCATCTGGTGCCAGCGTTTGCAAGACGAATGCGCGCAGCGCTGGGTCAGCAAAGCAACTTGGGTCAAAACGCAGCGCAGCGCTGCGTTTTGAAAAAGCAACCCCCCTGGGCCGCGCACTTGGTTTGAATATCAAGCAGGCGGGGTCAGAAATGCTGTAGGCGTCCAAACGGAATGCCAGGCCAGCCCTATCGACCGGTCTTAAAATGCGACAGGTGGAGCGTGGCACGACAGGGAGGAGGGGGAGGGGGATCAGTATAAACCCAAGACGCATCAACGAAATTGCAGTGTACCCTCCCTCCAAGTTGCCTGCACACTAGTCCCAAAGAATCCGCCGACCCCTTGGGGTCACGGCATGTGCGATGCTTCCCCCTCCCCAAACCCCTCCCCCGGGAGCCCTGTCCGGCCGATTTGGAGGGGGGAGGGGGGGGACCGTGGTGTCAGCCGCACCCTTGGAGCCTCAGGGGACTCCAAAACGGGCCAAGAGGGCCCCAAAAGGCCCCCTGGACGGTCCAAGAGGGCTACGAGTCGGCAACAGATCGCTCCAAGAAGACGCCCAAGATCGCCTCTAGACGGCCCCACAGGCCTCCAAGACGCCCACACCAAGAGGCGTCCCCAGAGGCCCTCCAGAAGCAAAAATCGTCCACTCACGAGGGGAAACTTATATTGTTAGCACATTCGCCTCTTGGGTTTTCACGATGCCCACAACGGCCCAAGAAGCCTTTAAGATCGCCCCAAGATAGCCCAAAAGGGCTCCAGGACGGCCCAAGAGGGCCCCAAGACGGCCCCAGAAGCTTCCAAAACGACCCAGGAGGGCCCCAGGACGGCCCCAAGAGCAGGCCCAGAGGCCTCAAAACAGCCCCCAAGAGGCCTCAAAAGTGCTGCCAGGAGAGCCCAAAGAAGCCCAAGAGCAGAGCGGCGATCCGCCAACCGCCCCCGACGAAATCCCAAGAAGCTGAAACCCCAAGATTCCCCAGAAATCGTTCCGCAAACTCCGTGTTTCATTATTACTGCCGCCCCAAAAGGTCGGCGGTGCGGCGTCAGCCAATGAATAATGTACCGTCAGTGCGGGAAGTGGCCCTTTTTATGAAGCAACCGCATGTGAATCCTCAAATGTGCCCAGAACACCGCTCCTGGGACACCAGCGCCGCGGATAAACGCGACGGTTGCGTCCTGGCCATCCGAAATCGCCCCAGCACACGACCTTTGGGAATTCAACACCGCGAATGAACTCGACTGAGCACGGTTCATGGGACTTCGACCATACGAAATCCTGATACTGCTGCAAAAATTAACACGGCGCGATGGCGAGAGCCAGATGTTGAAAAGGAGCCACCCTCCACCCTTGAAACCACTGTATACGTTTAAGACGAACGTGCACGGCGCAAAAGTGAGAGCCACAATTTGACAGCCACCGACCCTCAATCTGGACACCGTTGCAAACGTATCATACGAATGAGCGCGGCGCTGAAGCGAGAATACCAGTTTGGAAATGAGCAGCACTCCATCATACGTGAAATTGTTGCAAACGTGCAAGACTACTGCGCGCAGCGCTGCGGCGAAAGCACCATTCTGGAAAGGAAACGCCCTCATCCTTGTAGCTGCTGCAAACATTAAGGAGAATGCGTGCGGCGCTAAAGCGAGAGATCCATTTTGATAACTACCACCTTGGTCCGCGCACTTGTTGTGAATCTCACGCCGCGGGGTCACACTGTGTGAAGAAGCCCCAGGCGGAAAACCAGGCCCGCCCGACCAACACGTCTTGGGATGCAACGGGTGGAGTGTGGCATGGGAGGGTGAGGGAGGAGGATCAGTGCAAACCCAAGACGCATCAACGATGTTGCAGCGTACCACCCTCCCACGATCCCTCAAAGTCGCCCCTTTTCACAGGTCCCAATCAGAATGTATCGTCATTGCGCGGCGTAGCCCTTTAGAAGGCAACCGCGTGTGAACCCTCAACTGTGCCAAAGGCGCCGTTCCTGGGACATCAACGCCGCGGATATAAATATATATACACACACAAGACTGCAATGGCGCTGCGCGCCATGCGCCTTGGTCCTTCGAGTTCCGCGCGCAAGCGGAATGCGTGCGTGCGTACATGCGCACATGCATGTATACACGCGCACGCGCATGCACGTTCCGTGTGAACATATATATATACACATACACATACACATACACCTGTGTATAGGTTATACAATAGACTTACATTGTTGTATGTGTGTATACAGCGTACATATGTACATATAAATGTATGTGTACGGGTATGAACATGCATATGCAACGCGTGCGTGCTTTGTCGGTGCACGCCCATATGTGCACATACCAATACACATATATAGATATGTATGTACATGTATATAACTATGGGTTCGCATACACATGCGTATCTCAGGCGGTAGTGGCCTGACCAGTTGCTCAGGGCATCTCGCAACTGAAAGGTGCAAGGGTCTCAGGCGAAAATGGCCAGATGACCATGGGACAATGCATCGCCGAGGTCAGTGTGCGAGGATGTCTCAAGCGAAAATGGCCTGAACACTTCCGCTCAGGCCATACCGGAACTCAGAGTTGCGAGGATGTCTCAAGCGAAAACGGCCTGAACACATCAGCTCAGGACAGACCGGAACTCAGTGACGCGAGGATGTCTCAAGCGAAAGTGGCGGAATACCACGGGGCAGGGCATCGCGGAACCCGGAGCTGCGAGAACGTTTCTAGCGAAAGTGGCCCGAACACCTCAGCTCAAGGAGCCCTGGAACGTAGAGTTGCGAGAAAATCTCAAAGCGGAAGTGGTTGGACCATCTTGGGGCAGGGCTTCTCCGAGGTCAGAGTTCGGAGGAGGTCTCAGGCCAGTGGTCTGATTTCTTCAGCTCAGGGCACCTCGGAACCGAAAGTTGCGAGGATGGCTCTGGCGAAAGTGACCAGAACACCGCAGCTTAGGACATCCCCGGACGCAGTATTGCGAGGGTGTGGCATGCGGAAGTGGCCGGACCACCTTGGAGTAGAGCACCTCCGAGGTCAGAGTTGCGGGGATGTCTTAGGCGCAACTGGCCCGAGCACTATGGGGCGGGGCATCTCCGAAGATAGCCTTGCGAGGAAATCGCAAGCGAAGAGTGGTCTGAACACCTCAGCTCAGGGCATCCCGAAATCCAGAATTGAGAGAAGTCGCAGGCGAAAGTAGGCGAACCACCATGGTGCAGGGCACCTCCGAAGTCAGACTTGCGAGACTGTCTCAGGAGAAATTGGCCTGAACACCTCAGGCCAGGGCGTCTCGGACTCCAGAGTTGCGAGGATGCTTCAGACGAAAATGGCGGGATCACTGCGAGGCAAAGCGTTTCCGAGGTGGGAGTTGTGAGCATATCCGGGCGAAGCGGATCTCACGACTCCCTCTTCCTCCTCCCCCTCCTCGTTTTCTGTCTGGGTGATACTCGCCTCTCGTCCTCCGCTTTCCCCTTGCGTATAATTCCCTCTTCCTGTTTCTTAATTTTCTGATTCGCGTTCTCCTGGTCCACCTCCTCTCCTCCTCATCCTCCTCCTGAGTTGCCGGCCGGGCCGGGCCGAGCAAAGCCGGCGGGCTGGCCGAAACGGGGACGACGACGATAACGACGACGATTACGACAACGAACGACGACGACGACGAAAAGGACGACGACGACGACGACGACGACGACGACGACGACGTGTGGACGGCTGGCGCCCTGCCGGGGCGCCCCTCCCGGCCACGAGGACGAGGACGAGGACGAGGACGAGGACGAGGACGAGGACGAGGACGACGACGACGACGACGACGACGACAACGACGACGAGGACGACGGCAGCGACGGCGACGACGACGACGAATGGGTGTTTTCGGGGCACTCGTGGGCCGTTTTGGCGCCTTCATGGGCCGTCCTGGGGCCTTCTTGGGCCGTCTTGGGGAGCTTGGGCCCGCTGGAGCCCCCTTTGGACCCATCTTGGGCACTTCCGGGGACCTCCCATGGCCCTTGTTGGTCTGTGCTGGGAGCCCTTGGGGGGCCTCTTGGGTTCATTATGGGCTGTCTTGGGGCTCTCTTGGGCGATCGTGAGGCCCGGCGCGGCCGTCTTGAAGCTTTCTTGGGGGCCTTTTGGAGCGTCTTGAGGCGATCTCGGGGGCTTTGAAGCCGTCTTGAAAGCTGATGAAATCCGAAAGGCGAATCTGCTAAAATTGTAAGTTTTTACGAAGGGAATGGGACGATTTCTGTGTTTTGAAAGCCCCTTGGACAGCTTTTTGGGTTGCCTTGGGGGGTTTGGGGGCCGTCCGGAAGCAATTGGAGTCCCTCTTGGAGCGCTCTTGTGCTGTCTGGGGCCCTGGCAAGGCGTTTATGGAGACCCAGAAAGCCGGGTGACCTTTTCCAAGGACGTCCAAGGGAGCCCGAGAACCCCAGATCGCGGGGATCCAGTTTTGGGGGGGGGGGGGACGGTTTTTCCCCCCCCCTCCCCCCCCCCCCCCCCCAGGGCTTGTAAAAATATAGGAAGAGGACTATATATAGAGAGAGAGAGAGTGCTAGGCGATACATAGGGGAACGAAAAGTGGCATAAACATAAAAACTCTGAGGTCCGCGCGGATTTCTCGGATCGTCGCTGGGGCCCCGCACCTGGCGCGCTCCGCGCGCCAGGGAGGGGGGGGCCCAGCGCCGATCCGAGGAATCCGCGCGGACCTATCAGCGCCGAGGAGGGGGGCCTCCGAGGAGATGTCGAAGCTCGGGTGCTGAGCCAGAGCGATCAGCGTGTCCGCGGCGGCCTCCTGCCGGCGGCAGGCGGGAAAGGGGGAGGGGGGAGGAGGAGGAGGAGGAGGAGGAGGAGGAGGAGGAGGAGGAGGAGGAGGAGGGGGAGGAGGAGGCCACCGCGGAGCTGCACGCAAGGAGGGAAGGGGAGAGGGAGGAGGAGGGGGAGGAAGGGGCAAGGGGGGGGCGGGAGGAGGTGGAGGAGGTGGAGGAACGAGGGCGGAGGGAGAGACGAGCGCGTCAGAGAGGAAAGAGGAAGCAGGACAACGACGACGACGACGACGACGACGACGACGACGACGACGACGACGACTACGACGACGACGACGACGACGACGACGACTATGAGGACGATGATGACGACGATGACGACGATGACGACGAGTGGGAATTGGAGGAGCGACAGTAACCCCAAGGAGCAGGAGGGGGGGGAAGGGGACGACGAAGAACAAACGAAAAAATGAAGGAGGAAGGAGGCTTGCCCCCCGAAACTCGCCCGCTTTGACCGCGAGGATGCTGCGTAACTCGCCGCCGAGCCGAAAAAGGAGGAGGAGGAGGAGGAGGAGGAGGAGGAGTGGAGGATGGTGTGGCGGGCCCGATCCCTTGTCAGGCCCTTCCGAAGATTTGTTGGGCCCAGGCCGACCCGCTCCTTGGCAAGTCCGCCCGAGCCCCGCAGGGGCTCTCCTGCATGGGGCGGCCCTCTGGGGCTCCCCATGCTAGTCGCAGGTCTAGGCCCCTAGAGGCCCACGGTCTACGGCGTTCTTGCCGTATCCGCTGGGCCCTGGCCTTATTCACGGCAATCCTGCGCCGCTCGGTGTCGGCAAGGGAGGGGCGAGGAGGGAGAGGCGGAGGCGGAGGCGGAGCCGGGGACCAGAGGAGGGGAGAGAGACCGATCACCTCAGCGGCGTAGGCCTCCTCCTCAGTGGGGACCTGGCTGTCTTCAGGATCCTGGGAGGGGCCTGGGGGGTCCTGGCCAGGCGGGCCCGGGGCCCCAAAGCGGCCCTTCTCAGGGTCAGGCTTGCTTCGGCCCTTTCCCCTCGCGACATCAGGGGCCCACTCCCCGGCCCCGTCCTCCGACGTAGGGATCTCTGAGACATAAAATTCCGCCAGGCCCTGCACAAGGAGGTGGTGAGACTGGGATTCATCTCTGGGCGCGTCCGGGAGCGCAGCGTCAAGAGCCGATTCGAGCGTCTCCAGAATGCTCTCGGCAATGCTGCGGCAGAGGCCCGGGGGGTAGACCTTCTTCCGCGCGATGCGGAAGGCCCTGGATCCTACCTCGCGCCCTAGGAGAGTGGCGTGGGCCGCTCGCCCGTGGGAGCACTTTCCTCCCCCAGGCGTCGCAGTCAGGCGACTGTGCAGCCCCGCCATGCGGAGCCCGAAAATTCTGGTCGGGGCCCTGCTCAGCTGTCCGTGCTCGCACTGGTCAAAGTCCGTGGTCGTGGTGCACGGCGCCGACAGCAGCGCGAGCCACGGCTCCCATGTCCACGATGTGACGGCCGCCAGCCGCCAGCTGCACGGGATGGGGTGCTCCGACCACCCCGCCGTGCCTGCCACCAGGTGCGCCGCCAGGAGGAGCACCATGGACTGCATCAGGGCACTTCCCACTGCCAGCTGGATCCTCTGCCGTGGTGCAGCGTGCGCTACTCCCCAGAACTGGTCGTGGGACCTGAGCGGCGGTGGGCCTGGCTGCTCTGACCATCTCGCCGCACTCCATTTCTCACATGGCGGTCCTCCTCCCGTCATCACGATCTGCCTCTTCAGGATCCCCTCGTGGAAAACCTTCAGTCTGTCCTGTCGCATGAGGTCGCAGCGCTGAGCGTCGATCGCCACGTCGATGCTGAGGACCATGATGTGCACCTTCTCCGACATCACTTCGAACTTCGGCGCTGACTCGAACACACGTTGAATGTCCTGCTTGCACCTGCGCCCGCAGACTAGGTTGAGTACGTAGACCTCTGCCCTTTGTATCCTCCACGGTATCTTCACCTCCGTGGTGATCCCGCTGTACTTGTCGGTGCGGAACTGGTTCAGGTCGTACCTTTCATCGTGCTGCACTTCCTGCTTCTCCTGGGGTCGTTCTTCTGAGCCCTCCTGGAGCGTGGCCCTGGCAGCGTCGTCGAGCACGTAGTCTGCCTCGAGCAGGACCTTCTTTGCATCTTCTTGGCTGAGGGATACCACGTCTGGCAAGGGCCCCGCTGCCTTGATCGCAGGTATGTTCACTCTCTTCCTCAGCAGGCCTCGTGGGAGCTCGTTGCGCAGCTCGCTCTCCTCACTGCCAGGCGCCTCTCCCGCGTCGATGGTCGCGACGAGGCAGGCCGGCGATGCAATCGCCAGGTGCTCGGTGAGGTGGTGGGTCTGGTCGAACAGCGTCAGGCAACCTTGGCACTGCGTTGCTGAGCCCGTCCAGGTACGTGCTAGTCTGACCATGGTCCAGTGCTGCTGGGAGATATGGACTCTGAGCCCTCTTTGTCGCCTGAACGTCCTCTGGCACCACGGGCATGTCCATTGTCTTGTCGACACTGTGTCTGGCTCGTCTGCCTGCGGGGGCCCGAAAGGGCTGCCTTCCCTTGTGGAGTACGGCACTCCCGCTGGCTGCACTATGTTGAAGAAGCGCTTCTCTGCCATGCGCGCCGCGTGGCCTCTGCTCAGCTGTGCTGCCGCCGCCTTGAGCGTGTCGTTGAGCCTGTACTTCCACGAGGAGTGCGAGCGTATGATCATCATCCCCCAAGGCCTCAGCTCATCTCTGGGATCCGGGAGGTCGTGCAGGTCCGCCGAGTAGCCTTGCAGCCAGCGGAGGTCCTCCATTAGCATCTGCGGCCAGGACTGCCTCTTGGCATGCTGGGGCCGCAGGAGGAGCTGGGCCATCGTCGCGAAAGCGAGGGGTGGTCCTGCTTGCAGTAGTTCGCCGAACAGCCTTAGCCTCGCTAATTACTCTCAGCAGGTCCTCCGGCCGCGCCCTCCCCACCTTGGCGAGCAGTGCCTCGTCCTCTGCCTCAGGGTAGGCGTCGAGGTCCAGCTCACCGTCCTCCTTGGTGGCGAACTTTTTCCCCGCCGCTGCTCTGTAGACTGCCATGACCATGGCGTGGTGATACTTGGCCTCCGCCCTCGTGAGCCCTGGCCAGCTGCCCTGTGAGAAGCATCTCGACGAGCAAACCAGGGCGTCAGCGAATACCATCTTGGTAGCCAGGTCCAGCTGGTGGCTGCGGAAGACCTTCTCTCTCAGCTTCCTGAGGGCGGCTGTGGTGGTGGCCGCGCGGCGGTAGAGCTCGGGGTACACCGCGCCGTGGTCGTCGATGACCGTCCCCAGCGCCACGTGGTTGTGCACTGCGTGGATGACGGCTCCCTCGTAGTGCTTCGACCTGAGCTTGACCCTTCCATGGCACTCATGCCATAGGGTCCTCCTCGCTCCCTTCGCCCCTTGACCTGCGAAGGCAAAGAGCACCTCCGATTTGCCAGGGTCGAGGTTGAGGACGAGGCCGAACTCCGCGAACGTGTCCAGCACAATGCCCGCGATGACTGCCACCGCTTCCATTGCCTCCTCTGCCTTGCCGATGAAGAAGAAGGAGGGAGGAGGGAGGATGGAGAAGGGAGGAGGCAGGAGGGAGGAGGCACGAGGAGGGAGGAGGGGAGACGAAACCACGACCTTGGAAGTCAGGGGAGTCCGAAGGACCTGGGCCAGCCCCTGGGGGGCGCGCGAGGGCCCCTGCGCGTCCGCGCCGCGGCCTGGGCCGCAGGGGTGCGCCGGCGCGGGGCGGCGGCGTGAGGGCGCGGAGGCCAGCAGACTTCGCGCATCGCGGAGCGCGGTGCGCGAAGTGTGCTGGCCGAGCGAAGGGCCCCGGCCCCCTCGCGCTGCGGAAAAACAGTGCGAGGGGAGGCTTTCGCTCGCTACCCTGAAGTCGGGCGTGTCCCCAGCGGGCCCTGGAAACGACAGGGCCGTGTTTGCTACCGGTTCCGTTTTGCTGTTTTTGTTGCCGGTTCCGACGCCGGTGTTTTACCGGTTCCGTCGCCGTGGTTTGACCGGTTCCGGCTCCGGTTCCAGTCCTGGAGCCTGTTTTTTTGCCGTTTCCAGTCGCCGCTTTCTTGCCGTTTCCATTTTCGAGGGACATTTTGGGGGAAACGGTGAAAAAAAACGGCCCTGCCCGCTTCCGGGGCCCACAGGAGGCCGCGCAGACCTCTGGAGGCTGCGTGGCGGACTCTCGGGGGCGCGTCTTCTGCTTCCGAAACCCTGAACCCAAAAACGTGGAACCCTGACCCCAAAAACGTGGTCGTCTCTGGCGGACTCCCGAAACCCTGAACCCCAAACCGTGGTCGTCACTGGCGGACTCCCGAAACCCTGCACCCTGAAACGCTGTCGCCTCTCGGGGGGCGCGTCCTCTGCTTCCGCCGCCCTCCGCCGCCCCTCCGCCGCCCCCTCCGCCCGCGGAGGCGGCCTCGCTCTGCTCCCGCCGGCCTTCCGCCGCCCTTCGGCGGCGGAAGGGATGGCAGCTCCTGCGATCCTCGAGGGCAGGGCCATTAGTGGAGCGCCTCACGTGCACGCAGAGCTGCGGTTCGAGGAGAGGGGTGAAAGAAGTGGCCGACTCTGCTCCTGGATGGTAGCGTGCCCGCTCCCCACGAAAACTACCCCCCCCCCAAAAAAAAAGAAACGCCATGCTGAGATCGCTTGCTGCGTGCAACCGTTGAACGAGTCGGGGACCAGACACACAGCGGGACGGGGAGGGGGGCGGGAGCGCGATGGGGCAGGGGGAGGGGGAGGGCATCCTCTACGTAATACCTGGCGTGTTTCGATGAGCAGGCCCTGCTGGGCAGCGGGAGGGGGGGGGGAGCGGGCGGGGGAGCGTGGTGGGAGTGCGGGGTGGGAAGCGAGGAGGGGTGAGAGGGAAGGGGGAGGTGGAAGGGGAGGGGAGGAGGGCGAGGGGGGAGGAGGGCGAGGGAGGGGAGGAGGGAGGAGGGCGAGGGCGAGGGAGTGGAGGAGAGGGAGGAGCGCGAGGGAGGGGGAGGGAGGGCCGAGCGAGAGGGAGAGGAGGGCGAGCGAGGGCGAGGGAGGGCCGAGCGAGGGGGAGAGGAGGGCGAGGGAGGGGAGGAGGGAGGGGGGAGGGCGAGAGACGGGGGAGGAGGGGGAGGGAGGAGGCGAGGGAGGAGGCGAGGGAGGAGAGGGGGGGAGGAGGCGAGGGAGGGAGGGGGGAGGGGGGGAGGAGGCGAGAGAGGGAGGGAGGGAGGGAGGCAGAGCCTCTCCTGGTGGAGCGCCTCCAGAAGCCCCTGCTCCCCGGCGCAAGCGCGCAGCATCTGCGAGCAGTGGAAGAAGACCTGCCCAGGGCGGCTGTCGGAGACCACCTCCCCCTCCTCCGCCCCAGACGGAAGCCCCTGTCCCCATCCGCATCCCTCCCTCCCTCCATCCCTTCCCTCCTCCGTACCTCCCCCCAGTCGTCGTCGTCGGCGTCGTCGTCGGCGGCGGCGGCATCATCATCACCATCACCATCACCATCATCAGCATCAGCATCAGCATCAGCATCAGCATCAGCATCAGCATCATCATCATCATCATCATCATCATCATCATCATCAGCAGCAGCAGCAGCAGCAGCAGCAACATCATCACCATCACCATCGTCGTCATCAGCATCATCACCATCATCATCATCATCATCATCATCAGCATCAGAACCAGCATCAACATCAGCAGCATCATCATCCTCAGCATCAGCATCAGCATCAGCATCAGCATCAGCATCAGAAGCAGCATCATGATCGCCATCAGCATCATCATCATCATCTTCATCATCATCATCATCATCATCAGCATCAGCATCAGCATCATCAGCATCATCATCGTTAGCAGCAGCAGCAGCATCATGATCATCATCATCAGCAGCAGCATCATCAGCAGCATCAACATCATCATTCGCATCATCATCAGCAGCACCATCAGCATCACAATCGCCAGCATCACCAGCATCATCAGCATCAGCATCAGCATCAGCATCAGCAGCATCAGTAGCAGCATCGTCAGCATAAGCATCATCATCATCAACATCATCCGCATCACCATCCTAATCAGTATCATCATCGGCATCGTCGTCATCTCCATCAGCATGATCATGACCAGCAGGAGCAGCAGCATCATCCGCATCAGCATCATAATCAGCATCAGCATCAGCAGCTGCATCAGCAGCATCATCAGCGTCATCACCAGCGTCATCATCATCATCATCATCAGCAGCAGCAGCATCATCATCATCATCATCAGCCTGATCCTCATCATCATCATCAGCAGCAGCACCAGCACCAGCATCAGCATCAGAAGCACCAGCAGCATCATCAGCATCAGCATCATCATCAGCAGCATCATCGGCATCATCGTCATCAGCAACAGCAACATCATCCGCGGCATGATCAGCCTTATAATAATTTCAGCAACAACAGCATTATCAGCATCCTCCTCACCATCATCATCAGCATCAGCATCATGCGAACCATCATCATCATCATCATCACCAGCAGCAGCAGCAGCAGTAGCAGCATCATAGACCGCATCATCATCAGAATCAGCATCATCATAATCATCAGCATCATAATCGGCATCATCGCCACCAGCATCAGCATCATCATCAGCAGCATGATCATCATCATCATCATCATCATCATCATCTTCTTCATCATCATCTTCATCATCATCATCAGCATCGTCATCAGCATCGTCATCAGCAGCATCAGCATCATAAGCAGCATCAGAAGCAGCATCATCACCATAATCAGCAGCAGCGGCATCATCATCAGCAGCATCACCATCATCATCAGCATCATCATCAGCATCATCAGTATCAGTACCATGCTCATCGTCATCATCATCATATCATCATACCAGCGTCGTACCATCAGCATCATCAGCAACAGCACCATCACCATCGTCATCATCAGCAGCATCAGCACCATCAGTTGCATCACCAGCATCAGCATCATGATCAGCATCAAGATCATCTGAATCACGATCGTCATCGGCATCACCATCAGCATCGTCACCATCAGCAACAACATCAACAGCATAGTCATACTCATCAGCAGCGGCAGCATCATCCGCATCATCAGTATCATCACAACCACCACCATCAGCAGCAGCAGCATCACAGCATCGTCATCATCTGCTCATCCCCATCGCAAAACTACTGAATTAGGTTATTGTAATATGCTAGCTGCAGCGCCGCACTCTGCTGGCAGGCCATCGGTTCCAACAGATCTGCATTCCAAACATATCCTCCCCATCCTCCTCATCTTCCTCCTCCTCCTCCTCCTTCTCCTCCTCCTCCTCCTCCCGTAGCCACTGTGGCTCAAGATGATTGTGTCCCTCGGGCAGAGAACGGACACCTCTGATCCGAGGCTAGACCCCAGTGCATTTTCTCGCCTCCTCTCGCGAGGGTACCCCGATTGCCCGTAGGGGGGGGGGGGGGGCGTCCGGTAACCAGTCATGGAGTGGCGCAGGGCAGCGCCGAGGCGGAAGCATGATCAACGTGGCAAGCAGTATTCCAAGGAGCAGCCGTACGATGTATGTGCGCTGTGTCGCCACTGGGGGTACAGGCCCTTCGGCAACCTCTGCTGTTCGAAGTGCGGAGGAGAGTATGTTGGCGATGCTCGTGTTCCAGATGCTGGGCGTGGGCATGATCGCCACGCTGCAGCTGCAGGAGGTGGAGATCCAGGTGATACTGGTCTTCGTGCTGCTGCTGCTGCTGCTGCTGCCCTTCTGCTTGCCACGAAGCCCGACCTTCGAGCGGGTCTGGCCCAACGTGTGGAAGACAACCCTGCCGCGGAGCCAGAGTGGACTGCGGCGCGGCTGCAGGACGTAGCCTCGGCTGAGCGCACCCGCCTCACCCGTGCGGCGGAGGACGCCTCCGGGGCGGTGCGCAGGGCCAGTCAAGAAGTATAGGATTGGAAGTTTCAGGCTCAGAAGTTGGGGCAGCAGCTGGTGGAGGCTCGGACGAATTTGGCCAACGATACCGCTGAGCACCAGAAGGCCACCCTTGCCCACGACGCCGCCGGCCGCGCCCTCCTGAAGTTTCATGCAGAAGCGTGGGTGGAGAAGAAGGGGAATGATCAATTACAATGACGCGCTGCTGTTGAGCAAGCCCGAGCCGCCGCTGAGCAAGCAGGGCGTGCGCAACCGCATCCTGATGCACCTGGTAAAGGGCATGGTGCTGCTGCTGGGCCTGGTGGCGAAGCCGCTCGGACTGGTGGTGGTGAACCTCAGGACGTTCCCATGGCCCCTGAGGACGTGCCAAATATCAGGGAGATGTCCAACGAGCAGCTGCGGGCCTACGCCGAAGCGCAAAGGCTCCCCCTCGGGGTCCTGCTGCAGTTCCAGGCCATGTCGAAGCTGCTCGCTCAGGGCACCAATGTGGACCTTGATGCTGAGAGTGATGCTGGTAGTGATGCTGGCGACCTCCCCCAACAAAAGGCCGAGGGTCTCAAGGCACTCCGCAAGCGCGCCTGTGAAGTGGTCCTCGGCCCCGAAGAGTTGTCCAAGATGGAGAGTCGCATGGTCAAGAAGTCCAAGTCTCGCACTACCAAGCGCATCAAGACCGCGACCGACGCTGCCACAGCCGACTTCGCCAACCTCGCGCGCTCGACGGTGGCGGCGAATCCGCATGTTTGGCGAGAAGGGTGCCAAACTGAGTGAGTCCACCACCTTTCCGTTTTGCAAGATCACGCAGTGGAGCTCTGCTGCGAAGAGTTCCAGTACGAACTTGAATGGTAAGGCTGGCGCCTTCTTTCTTTGCTGAACACCGCCAGCTCCCCCACCAATTGAAATCTGCCAAGCGAGAATGTGCCATGATGACGTGGCGCCCGCACTTCGCTCCAGCTCGGAGTACCTCTGGAGGGGGTGCCCATGGGGGAGTGGAGGCTTGTGTGCATCGTGGTTTGCATGTTAACAAGTTTCTTCTTCACGATGGGAAAGAGAAAAAAGGTGGGCGCAGTAAACGGATGGATGTTTTTGGAGCTTCGTGCTCAGAAGTCGGCCCTGGGCGTCGGTGCGGTCTACAAGGTGGCTAGCCTGGGCGTTGCTGGTGAGAATGTGCGCAAGATGGAAGAGATCAATACCTTCGTTCGAACCCTGGCTGCGCCCTGGGTCCTCATGGGAGATTTTAACTTTGGCACTGATGTAATGCAGATCTGTGGTTTTCCTCAGATGACGAGAGCCTGTGCCATTTCACCGTCGGATGTTCCCTTCACCTGCTCTCAAGGGCAGGGCACGATGCTCTTCTACGTTGTTGCATCAGAGTCTATCGCCCAGTTCATGAAGGCCAGTACGTATGGAAGCTCGCCGTTTAAGACCCATGCCTGTTTGCAGGTTGACCTGCCACACGCTTCTCTGCTCCAAGAGATGACCAAGAGATGTAAACCTCGTGTTTCTCCTGAAGCCCAGGGACCTGAGCTTCCTTGGGTTCGGCATCCTGAGTTTGCCTGCCGGGAGTGGGCCCCACCGGTGCGGAATCCTGGGGTCCAGCTGGTTTCCCTTAATCAGGAACATCGCTCGGAGGAACTTACCAGTACGTATTTGCTGTGGTCTCGTGCTTCTGAGAATTATGCGCTTGGCACTGGACGTGAGTATGAGCATGACGTATGTCAGTACGTGGGCAGGGGGGACTTTGTCGAGACGAGGGGGACTGCGCTATCTGCTAACAATGGTAGTAGTAAGCCGTATTCCGACCCCGTTCTTTGCGTTTGGTCCCACCTCTCTCAGAAGCTTTTCGAGTTACGAGTTGTCCTTGACAATGGGCGCGACAAGCTGCCTCGAGACCTTGCTCGGCGAGTCTCCTATCTTGGGCGGTACGTTGAGCAGTATACTTCCTGCCTGCCGCCCACCCAGACGGCGCAGTAGTGGCAGGCTCAGCTGGACCAGATGGAGTCGGGACGCTCGGCTTTGAACATTGATCTTAGCGACGCGCTGGTCTTTGAGTGCTCCATTGCGCTCGGAAGGCCTGGTCTGATGCTCGATCGCATTCAGCCAAGGCGTTTGAGGACTGGCTCGTCAAATCCCTTCCCAAAGGGAGTAAGAGAGCTCATGCGTGGCTCAGGCGTGATGAGGGTGACCCCTTAGAATTGTTTAGGGTCCCCCATGGTGCTTCGCAGCTTCCTGATGAAATGATGGCCTCATCGGGCTAAGTTGCGGGGAGGGTCATCAGCAGCAGCATCATCAGCATCATCATCAGCATCATCAGCATCAGCATCAGCGTCAGCATCAGCATCAGCATCAGCATCAGCATCAGCATCAGCATCAGCATCAGCATCATCATCATCATCATCATCAGCATCATCATCATCATCAGCAGCAGCATCATCATCATCATCATCATCATCATCATCATCATCATCATCATCATCATCAGCAGCAGCAGCAGCATCATCCTCATCATCATCATCATCATCATAATCATCATCATCATCAGCATCATCATCATCATCATCCGTTTCCTCCTCTTCCTGCACGTCCTCCTCCTCCTCCTCCTCATCATCATCATCCTCATCCTCCTTCTCCTTCTCGTCGTCCTGCTCCTGCTCCTGCTCCTCTTGCTCCTGCTCCTCCTGCGCCTCCGCCTCCTCCTCCTCCTCCTCCTCCTCCTCCTCCTCCTGTTCCTCCTCCTCGTCCTGCTCCTGCTCCTGCTCCTGCTCTTGCTCCTCCTCCTCCTCCTCCGCCTCCTCCTCCTCCTCCTCCTCCTCATCGTCCTCCTCATCGTCCTCCTCATCGTCCTCCTCCTCCTCCTCCTCCTCATCCGCTTCCTCCCCCCCCAGCCCCCTCCCCCTCGCCTTTATCAGCATCATAAGCATCATCATCAGTATCAGCAGCATCATCATCGCCAGCATCATCATCATCATCAGCATCATCATCATCATCATCATCAGCATCATCATCATCATCAGCATCATCATCAGCATCATCATCATCATCATCAGCATCATCAACATCATCAGCAGCATCGGCATCATCAGCATCATCATCAGCAGCAGCATCAGCATCAGCATCATCATCATCATCATCATCATCAGCATCATCATCATCATCATCATCATCATAAACAACATCAACATCAGCATCACCATCATCATCACCAGCCTCATCAGCATCATCATCCTCATTATCAGCATCATCATCAGCAGAATCAGCATCAGCATCAGCATCAGCATCAGCAGCATCAGCAGCAACATCATCAGCATCATCAGCATCCGCATCAACATCGTCATCATCAGCAGCAGCATGATCGTCAGCATCATCATCAGCAGCAGCATCAACATCAGCAGCATCATCATCATCATCAGCATCATCAGCATCATCAACAGCATCCTCAGCATCGACAGCAGCTTCATCAGCATCAGCATCATCATCATCATCATCATCATCATCATCATCATCATAATCACCAACATCGCCGTCACCGTCATCATGACAAGCATCAGCAGCATCATCGGCATCATCAGCAGCATCAGCGTCATCATCATCAGCATCAGCAGCATCATCATCATCATCAGAATCCTCATCAGCATCGTCACTATCACCAGCATCATCAGTATGATCAGCACCATCATCATCATAAGCATCAGCATCATCATCATCGGCATCATCATCATCAGCAGCCACATCAGCATCAGGAACATCCTTTTCATCGGCACCATCAACAGCATCATCATCATCATCGTCATCATCAGCAGCATCGCAATCATCATAATCAGAATCAGCATCACCATCATCAGCATCATCAGCATCATAACCATGATCATTAGCATCAGCATCCTTCTCAGCCGCAGCAGCATCATCCGCAGCAGAATCCGCATTATCTTCGGCATCATCGGCAGCTTCAGCGTCATCATGAGCAGCATCATCATCATCAGCATGATCCTCAGCATCAGCGTCAGAAGCCTCATCAGCATCAGCATCAGCAGCAGCATCATCAGCAGAACCAGCAACATCAGCATCATCCGCATCAACAGCAGCATCAACATCAGCATCAGCATCATCAGCATCGTCATCACCATCATCAATCGCATCAGCATCACCAGCATCAGCATCGTCATCATCATCATAAGCAGCATGGTCACCATCAGCAGCAGCAGCATCATCCAAATCCGCAAAAGCAGCAGCAGCATCCCGATCGTCAACAGCGGCCGCGGAAGCAGCAGAATCATCTAGAGCGTCATCATCATCAGCATCATCAGCAGCATCATCATCAGCGTCATCATCAGCAGCATCCTCATCACCATCATCATCAACATCATCAACAGCAGCATCAGCATCATCATCAGCAGCCGCAGCATCATCATCATCAACATCAGCATCATCATCATCATCATCATCAGCATCAGCATCAGCATCGTCCGCCTCATCGTCATCAACGTTCACATCAGCATCATCATCATCATCAGCAGCAGCACCATGAGTACCATCATCATCAGC